TCAAGAAAAGAAATAAATCCCTGTCTTGGTAAAGTAATCACAGATGTGTCTGAGTCAGAACATGGATGATTGAACAGAAGTGGGCGAAAACAAACGGCCTCTTCTGTTTGTACAGTGATTCACTCGTCAGTGTCTTTACAGACTGACTGTAGAATAGCACCTTCATGTGGTAACAAATGGTGTAAACAGCTTCACGTTCACATCAAAGCACAGACAATTGTTATGAAGGTATTATATTATTATTATTATTACTACTACTACTACTACTACTACTACTACTACTGAATACTACAAAAAAGAACATTTGAAGAATAACAGTAAAATAATTGAACCTTAACTACTGGTCTGAGTGTTGTGGGGAACCATTAAAATGTCGGGGTTAAAAAAAAGGGAATCTTAATGTAAACTGTAATCACACTTAGTCTTCATGACAGTTAAGCTGAGTGTGATGAAATCTAAGACTTTTTATAGGTAACGTTGCAGAATAGATTATGGCATCAATCACTAGTTCCATGGTTGTTTTTTTAATAAAAAGTGTTTCAAAGAAGGTAAGTGATGACAGAAGGTTAAGGGGGAAGATTTGAGTGGACACCATGCATAACTGAAAGCCAGACCATTAAATAGAAGGGTGGTTGTTCACTCATTTTGTACTGATATCTACTTTGTGTTCCATTAAAGGACACAGGAAGTTAATTATTATTAAAAAATGAGTCATTAATATTACGAAACCCTTAGGAAAATATATAGTACTACTGTAAGAGGAGCTCATACATTTCCTGAGTTAGCTTAGAAACAAAGAAACACTTCTGGTCCGCCTCTGTGGCTTCAGGCTACGGCCATTTCTTATATATGGTCTACAGATAACACTATGGCAGCTAATGCTAATGCGTCCTCTTATATCTATACCTCTCTAAAATCTAAGACAACTCCACTTGTGTTTGCCATTTGCACACAAAAGCTTTCACCATAATGCCACAGAGAGTGTGCTCCCTCACAGGGTTTAAAGTCCAAAGTTACACTTGAGGAGTAAACAATGTCTTGAAAATACGTCCTGGAAACCCATTGTGTCCACCTACTGAGTTACGAGTGAGAGAGTTTACAGTCGTACGGAGCGAGGATGTGCATAGAGCATTGCTGAACAGCACATTCATTTTTGCTGCTCTTTCAGACCTCACAGTTGTGGAGACACAAACCTGTCAAACTGTTGGGACACCTGACTGGTACTGATAACAACATGGCAGCAGAAAAACGAATAACACAGGCCCAGAGGACGCAGCTGTGGTCTGACAGGAGGAAGTTAAAGAGCACACATTTGAGATAAACTATGTGAAACTGTGTGAGAGTCAGTGGTGTGGACATTTGCAATGACAGGCATCATTGATCTGATTCCAGACTGACAGAGAGCCCAGCCCCAAACTACACCACAGAGAATTGCTGTTGACAGAAAGGATCTGCAACATTTTAGACCAGAGAGTTTAGATTTCACTCCATTAACGAGGAAGAGAAGAAACAGTAAGAGCAGAAAATCTGACTCTTATACTGTTTAGAGACATGTATTTAAAGCATCCAGGTGAAGTACAACGACCGTACTTCTGATGACAATCACTGTTTGACTGCTCCATCAGATGTTTGATTTCTGTGTGTAACTATTGTCTCATGTGTTTTCACTGTCCTACTGTAATACACAGATAATATTTGCTTAATTTGATTTATTTTATTGGCAATAATTACACAATCTCCTCATTTTCTTTTACCACTTCTCCTCAGTCCTTATTATTTGGAATAGTGAGTTAAAACTCTTAAATCTCAGAATTCTTTCTAAGGAATAATGTACTTTTTTTTGGCTGTTTGCATTTAAATCAAATCAGAGATGCTCACAGCATTTTAAGATTGTACTACGATGACATTGTATCAGTTGCATACACAAAACTCAGTTCCTGAGAAAACTGGATAACCTCATCAGATGTGAAGACTTGGCAATATCAACCAAAGTTTTGGTGAATGTGGGAATTTGTGGACCAAAGATGGTGGAGCAGCATAAAAAAAGTCTGTTCTTTTAACTCAAATATGACGTTCCAACAGACAGACACTCAGATACATTTGTCCTCTTTTGTTTTTAAACACAGCTCTGTTTAGGTGCAAACTGTCACATTCTGTCTGTACTTTCATGTTTTAAAAACTGCGAGTTGCACATCCCTCATAAATAAAAGTGCACTTTGATAGCGATCCCTTTCAACCTCCCACACATTCAGTTTTCCCTCCCCGCCGTGTGGCACATGCCATCTTTCCTCTGCCATCCTGTCGGCCTGCAGCAGATGTGACATCACTGCAGCTCATATCCACTCTGCACCCCCACCCCCATCTCTTTCTCTCTGACTCCCCAGCATCTCTGTCTCCCACGCATTCCTTCCTTCTCTCTGCCTCTGTACACACAGCCATTTTGGTCTCGCAAACATGATCTGAGAGGCTCAGTGGAGTACAGAGAGAGGGGGCTGCAGGGAAGGGAAGGGAGACGCAGAAGTCAGGGGGAACAAAAAAGAGAGAGAGAGAGAGATGCAGACTGGCGCTCAGCACGATGTGAGATGAAGCTGAGGCAGTTGTGTAATTGTGTAATCAAAAAGCCCTGGCTGCACGGCTGCCATTTTGGCGTTGCTTTAAGCCACTTTGCTCCACTCAGGAGCCATGTGACTTTCTGCATGAGGTAACGGCAATGGCACTGCAAAGGGAAGGATGAGGGAGTGACAAAAAGGGGGAGAGGCTGAAAAAAGAAGAAGGGGGGAGTGCAAGATGAGCAAGACAGAGGCAGCAGCAAGTAATAGAAGGGTGAGAGAGGGATGAAGAGAGTGTTGAACAGGGGAGAGTACATGGTTGAATGGGTGCATGTGAAAATGATAGAGGGGGGGGGTGTTATCGTCAGCTCACAGGCAATCTATTTTTACCATTTAGTCTGAACAAAGGATGTGATTGGCTCCACGGTGTGTGAGGACAGATCGCCTGCATGCGGAGAACAAATCCCTTAAAAGGCTGATTCACAGTAAAGTCACAACAACAGCAGGACGCCACATTGTTGCCAATGAACCAGGCAGACAGACAGAGAGAAATCTGTTGCTGCACATTTTTCAACATGTCTGCAGAACATGAAGCTGCACTTAATGAAAAGGCCACTTTCAGGTGAGAGGAGAAAGCAGCAATGTCGTGATTTCTCAGGCAGAAAGGCACAAAGGATGGGGAGGATCTCTGCTCCACCATCGTACAAGAATGTAAACAAACCAGCCTTCATTTGTAATGACAATAATTCCCAGCACATGCAGAGAGTGGGGGAGAAACAGGGGGAGAGAGAGAGAGAAAGAGAGACTGCAGAACCAGTATGTTGATCAGCGCTGCTCTGTGGTTTATCTAAGACACTCACTGGCCTAAACCTGTCGCAACAGGATCTGTGAGTGTGTGTGTGTGTGTGTGTGTATACTGTATGTGTGCACACATGCCTGCTTTAAAAAAAAAGAAAAACTGTGTGCTTTCAGACTTGCTGAACACAACAGGCACATTGCAGGTCTTGGTGGACCTCTGACTACATCCCTCACAAACATGTGGTTGTCATTAAAAGTTTCTGCTCCACTGTGAGGTCTGTCAGAGGGAGCGACACAGGGAGAAAACTCCAGAGGAGAAGGGAATTGACCTGAGAGGACAAACATCAAGCAGATATCTCCCCCTTTCTTTCTCTCTCTCCCCCTCTCACTCTCTGATATGACTGTGTTTGATAGATGACATAGCAATGAATCAAAGCAGGGCCATTAAAATGACCCTGACACCCTAATTTAATCTGCCGTCTCTCTGATCCCCCTGAGCAGATGCTACGATTCAATTTCTAGCTGTTATTCGCTCGCTTGTTCTGCACACTGCTCGTCCCCTGGCGCTTCGAGGCTTTTCCCAGTGCACGGGGAAAACTGTTTCTGTGACTCTGCTCCTACAGGAAAACCGTTTAAGAGTGAGTGCTGTAAAGTCACAAAGGACGACACACGAACGTAAAAATTACAAGATGTACTCGATAAAGATTGCCAAAATCATTTTTTTCACTCCAAAGACTGGCGTGCTCTCACAAATTAATTCTGACAGAAGGCGTCATTAAAATTCTGACTGTGACTGTGTTGTTCTTTTGTTTTGTTTTTTTTAAAAGCTTTTAAAATGTGGCAGGCTACCTTTAAAAAAACAGAGTAAAGTACTTTAATAGGCAGAAATGCAAAGTCACAGTGACTGATATGCAAAGAAAAGCTGAACTACAGGCAGTCATAAATATGTTTTATAATACTGATGAACACCTTTATTATCACCCTACAATCTCCAACTAACACTGTTCAGTTGTACTGCTGTTGCTGATTTACAGATTCAAAGACAGATAAGAGAACTTATTTTAGAGCCTTGTTCTAAACAGAAGGATTTGAGTTCTTCCTCAGCTTTGAGTCCATTCTGGAAACGTGCATCCATCAAATGAGCAAATTCAAACTTAAAGGTTTAAAGCTGTTTTAAAAAAGACATTGTGATGACATTAATGAGCACGATGACGTTCAAATGATTTAAAAAAAAACAATCCCTGGGACTTGTAGCAACATGTGAGCTCACAGGTCATTTGGCCAAGGACACGAGTCAGAAAGTATGCCAAGATTTGATATTTAAAGTACCATTTCATAGCACTGCATGTGTCAAAAACCCAAAAAGAGTCACTGATCTGTTGCACAGCAACTGTGACTTTCTTCTGTACAACTCCATCGTGTGCGCTGTGGATGCCTTTTCAGTCCATAACGCTGATTTAGGAAGTGTCAAAGAAAAAGCGCGGCTGCATCATCACCAAATACCATCACACACCATCTCACTCAGCGCGACACTGTCCCTAGACAGCTTCCATAGCACTTTTACATGCTGTATGTCATTTTTTGACAGCAAAGAGATGAGTGGGAGGTAGGAGGCAAGAAGAGAGGGAGAGAAGAGTGAGAGTGGGCACTTACCGGGACAAGCACAACCTCCAACAGACATCTTCTCACATGTTGGGCTCCGCTCTGAAGGAAACAGCTGCACTCAGTCCATACGCTGCTGCTGCTCGCATGGGCCAACTCTGAGGAAAACAACACAGACAGGGAGGGGGGGGGGTGGAGAGATAAGAGGGAGTGGTACAAAGAAGGGCATGAACACCACACATACACTCCCCTCTCTCTCTTTTTCCCTCTCTCTCTCTCTCTCTCTGTCAGAGGCAGGAAGTTGGCAGTGCAGCTCTGGCTGCATCATTAATAGGCATATTGCAACACAAGTAGGAGGGAAAATGAGAGAGGAGTGAAATGGGAAGAAAGAGACTGAGTCTCCAGGCATATGAGACTGGAGTGAGTAATATGGAATGGAGTGAAGGTGTGTGTGTGTGCGCGCACTAGTGTGTGTGTGTGTGTGTAACGAAAGAATGCATGAGGGACGCAATTAGAGCAACAGAGAGGAAAAAGAGAAATTGCACAAGGTCTGTGTGAGAGTGTGTGTGTGTGTGTGTGTGTGTGTGTGTGGCAGTGATGTATCGTCTATTTTTGCCCAACGCTGCTGTGGGAGATAAACATACTCAGTAGGAACCCAGAGGCAGAGGGTCATTACTGCCAAACAAACACACACACACACACACACACAGATGCATGTATGACAGATTCTCATCTCTCTCTTCTCTCTCGTCTCCCTCTGTCACTGCTCTCCTCTGTTTCTCTGCTGCTGCAGAGAGAAGACTGGTGTTAATCACTACAGACACTATTGATTAAAAATGCAAAGCCCACCTGGAGCGCAGGGACACTGGAGACCCATGGGAAGGAACAGTGCGCACGTGTAAATGTGCACACTCTCACAAGCAGCATGTAAACAGCCTGACTTGGCCACAGACTGCTTCACCAGCAGACTCTCTCTCTCTCTCTCTCGCTCTGCTTTCTCTTTTCCCCTCTCTTCTCCTTTGCTTTTTTTTGTGTTTTGTCATCTGCATTCACTCACTCAATTTAATCTTCTCACGCTGCTGATAATACCTTGACCTTTCTGCAGCCTGATGTGATTTTGTTTCATTTCCTTTACCTCCACCATGTCTCTGGTTTCCTTTTCCATTAATCCCTATAACTTCCCTCTGACTCAAGTGTGGCGGTTCTCTGAGCCAATAACCTCATAATCTCACACTTCACTAAACAAACACACGCGCACATAACTGCCTGGTATAAGCTGGATGTCCTTGTTGCCTAAGTAACCGATGCTATCAAAAAAACAGAGAAACTGTACTTGTACAGTCAGACCGCAGAAGGTTTGG